ATATTAATTATAATGTGTTGCGTATTATTTTAATAAATACGTCACAAAATCTCGCGATATCAATAAGTCGGTACGCGTCGCTGATGCGATGGGGACAAGTTAATGTAACTTGATGTTTCTCCTTCTCGTTCTTCTCTGAAGCGAACTCTCCTGAGGATCACAGTGCCACAATACTAAACGCTACACCTATGAATATGAATTAGGGTTTCGCCGAGGGGGTTGAATGCGAACCATTTACTGTTTCCGTGAGCTTAAACGCGTACCACAGTGGCTCTCAATGCGATGGCCATTTAACCCGCAAATGTGCAAGTCGTGCTACGAATTATCACATAATTAATCGAAATTAACTCGTCAATCACGCCGACGAAATTCCATCACAGTTCGAGGGACTGTCTATTAATAATGTCCAAATGATTTATCCAAATCGATTTATACATACATGTACGATGTTTATAGAAGTATGTTGAACCGATCCAATTTTTAAGCTACATAATATTTATAAAATGCATACTTCCGTCGAACATCACAACTTTCCTAAGGGGTGTATACATGAACAGGAAACACTATTAAAAACGTAGCGGTCGTGAGCCCCGCTCTGTTTTAATGATCGCCAACCCCGTTGAATGTAACTCTTATCGTGGAAAGTGGTGACCCGAGAGAGCTGTCATATTTTGACGTCCGTAGCGGGCGTTCTGGCTTAGAAGGGGAAAACGAGAAGAAAAGAGATTATTTTTCGCCGCGCTGGGAGAAGAAATCAGACTGTGAGTAACCAGGGGGAAATGCCTAATGGCATAACAACCACAAACTCACGAGTCTTTTTTGCCTTTCGTAAAACGAACTCGTCACTGATAAAGTTTTAGCCAATAATTGTATTTATATATTAGAGTACTTAAAAATGGAATTTCTGAAAGGAATACGGAAGTATTTGAAAGTTCTGATTTTAATCTATTAACATTCATTGGAAATGGGTTAATAAATGGAACTCTTTTATTTCACTTTTTACTTTTAATTTATTCGAACAGCTCGAAAGGACATTTGCATGCTATGAAAAATGCAAGTCAAGCAGAGCCTAATGGATTAAAGAAAGTTTTGAACCCACTTATTGTTAAATAAAACTGGTCCTGACCCTGCACAGTGATTATTATCCAGGTCTTAAGAAATAAACACTCAGTTTCATCGCCTTAATGGCTTCTGGTTGAGAATCAGTTGTGCTAAGGGTAGTGTCTCTTAATACGAGATTCATTTTTGTATACATATACATGTACAATGTATTTAGATATATCATTAAATAATATAACGCACTGAAAATTTTTTCGCAAAATCATTTCGTGGACTAAAACATCAAACGAAATGAATTTCGAATCTAATTAGGCTGTAATCGTATCAAAGTGCCCTGCTAATAATTTATCAAATGGTTATTGTTTAATGATCGGATCGTAAATAGATAGTGGATGGGGAACGATTCTCGATGATCGCGTCAACGATGACAGGCGATCGTCAAATATGTCAGACGCGTGATACTCGGAGCCCTCGGTTTCACGTTAAAATTGACACCCGCGGACTGCGCAGACGGGACCGACGGGACTGGCGTAGGTATGGGTGAGCCGCTTTGTCGAGCGGCGAACAAGAGAGTGACGAGCGTTGCGAATTCACCACTCGCTTAATATTTCTATTGTGCACCGCCGATGAAGACAGGAGGGTGAAAAATGTTATGTACGTCGCCGGGATCGCGCGTAGAATTAATTCGATATCGCAGCGGCTTGATAGTGATCAACAGAGGTTTTCGATAATTGCCAGAGAAACGTTAATTCACTGCGAATTACCATTGCGCTCGCGTCAATTCATTTTAATGCGAATGCACCGATATAGATTAAAGTAATTCTCATCGAATTATGGCATTTAAATGGTTAAAGGCGCATCTGAGTTTCGCGCACAGAAAAGGGCAGCAGTCTCAGAGTTATATGGATACTCACCCGGTCTTGGGTTTCGTTTGATATAAGTATCTACAGATAACGTTTTTCTAATTAATAGTGCGACGTTCTCTCAAAAATAGTCCATTCCGGACAGGAATCCTGGCGAACAGTTTCGGATATGCTAGCGGCAAGTCCTTTTTAAAGTACGATTGCAAGTATCGAGGTCAACACATAAAGAATGTGCTGCTTAGTTTTTAAGAGTCGTCGATATTCGAATCGTTGTGTCTGTCAAAGGACGGATACATTGTAAGTAGAGATATTTGTGGCCGATGATTGCCGATAGAAGTGCGGAGAGTTCTGGCAAGCTCGAGCGATACTTTATTGCATATCGAAGGGATTCGTTATTCAAGTATTGATGGATCGCTTAGCCCTATTTAGAGATCAGATCTTCGCGGATAGGATTGTCAATGCGTCGCGAAAGATGTCGATCCTCTCGTGTGACGATCAAACGTGAGACGACGAGATAAACGATTCAATCGCGACGATGAATAATACTTGAGAGCAACGGTTAAACGCGGCAGCGGATCGGATCGGATCCGCCCACGAGGCTGTCCGAAGGGAAACCACCCGTAAAATCCAAAAGGGGTGCAGTGGAGCGGGAGCGGTAGGGGGCGCCAGGCGACTCTGTGACGCGATTATGCTAACGAAGTTATTCCATTGTAACGCTGTTTACAACGGTGCGCATTAAGGCTACACCGGAACAATAGCAACCCTCTGCCCCTCTAACCCGCTCCTCGTCGCGCACAAGCCTGGAATCCTCGGGAATCGCGCGGCCATTGTACATTGTATTCCCTGTTCAAAAAGGAAACAGTGCCGATGCTCCGTGGTTGATGGTAAAACGAAAAAAATCCTGCGTAATATCAGTCTCAGTGGTCACCGATTGAAAAAGAAGATTTTAACAGAGTTTATTTAAGTACTAATTTATGAACTGACAGATCTTTCACGGATATATAAAATTATCTGTAAAAAATGAAAATAGTAAGTGCAGACATGATATTTTTATATTTCTGATTACTAAATATCATCGCGAAAGAACATTTTATTCGTACACAATAAGTTAGGCAAAGGGAAGTCGCCAAAACCATCGAAACACAATGAATACAGGAGGGATGGAAAGGGGCCCTTGCTACTGCTCGTCTGGTTACACCCTACCGAGGCGCCACTTGACTCGTATTTAACTTTCAAATATATTTTATGCTGTTTGCATCTTAATACTTTTATGGATTCCTATACCCTTCGCTGGGCTCGCCTAATGTGCATGCATTCTCGTTCCACTGAAATGTACAC